TCAAAATGGATGTCAGAGGAGACTCTGAAACTTGCTCTCCAGCATAGAGAAGCTAAATCAAAGAGAAGAATTGAAGAGGTCCAAGAGCTGAACAGAAATTTCAAAGATCAGCTCGAGAAGATAAAACCAAATACTATATAAGCCTTATAGGATAGTATTAACAATTGCTCATCCACGATTCTCCAAAGACTAATTTGCTGTTTTATGTGTACCACTGAGTCTGTTCTGGCTCAGAGTGACCCTACAGAGCAGAGGACATCTGATCTCTCCGGGGTTTTCTATGCTGCAATGCTTTTGGGAATTCAAACCACCTACCACACTGTTAACATAGTGGTTACGAATGGGGCTGTGAACCGCAAGGTCAGCAGTTCGAAACTACCAGCTGTTCTGGGGGAGAAAGATGAGGCTTTCTGCTCCCATAAAGATTTACAGCCTTCTGAAACCCTGTACAGGGTCGCTATGAGTCGGAACCGACTCCACGGCACATAACAACAGCAACAACCACTCTGTTAGCTGCTGAGCACTTATACATTGTGCCAAGAGGGCTCCTTGTTGTTGTTGTTTGGTGCCATCAAGTCTGTTCCAACTCATAGCTACCATGTGCAGGGTTCCAAGGAGCGACTAGTCCAGTTCTTATCTTACAGCACCACACCAGGACTACTAGTCTAGTATTTCAAGGTATATATGTCTTCAGTAAATAAAATTTAAAAGTATTAGTTTACACCTTTCTTTTGGGGTACAGTATGTATTTGAGGGACAAAAAAGAATGGTAGGCCTTTTGTTTTCTTGGTAAATGTATTCCCCTTCACAGAGGAAGCTTCTCCCAGTATTTCCACAAGGTTTAAAGCTGTTCCTATATTCTAAGGTGCCTAATAGCCTCTCATGAATCCTCATTGATGGTCAGCCTGGGTCTTACCTTTACTAATTGGCTTGTACTCAGGAACCATTTCATGATTTATGCTACCACGGTGGTTGGTGGGTGTCAGGTGAGAAATGTTGTAGCTGGGGAGGTCTTATAACTCCTTCACTCATGTGTCTTTTTCTCTCTCTCTAGGATGTGAAAGGCATTATAAAAAGGTATATTTGGGCAACCAGGAAGATGCCTTTGCTGTGAAGAGAGGTTGTAAAAGTGAAATTTGTCTGATGGTCAAGCAAGATGAAAAAATCCCGAAACAGGAAAATATAGATGCCGTTTTATCATAATTTTCCAATCACAAAGCAGGTTTCAGTGTTAAAAATGGAACAAATTCTAGGGTAAAGAATTGGTGTGATAGAAGGTCACAGAGATGAGGTAACAGACCCCTGTGACTTCACTCATTTTTATTACCTTCTGTGTCTGCATCCATCAAGCTCCGGTTCCCATAGTTCATTGTTTTTTGCCTTATATTTCTCCTTTAGATTTTCAAAAACAGACTCCATACTAGGGAAAAATATTTTGACCCTGATACAAAAATTGACGAGTCTTGAACACCTCCCTTAGAAGTCCAATAATATACAATGACTTGAATATAGTAAGTATCTTGTGAATTCTTTTCAGAGCAGTACAAGTTTGGTGTTTGCATCTACTTCCTCTAAAGTGTTTGTAACTCTCCCCCAGAGAACCTGAACCCTCAGATGTAATTATGAGGGCTAGGAAGCTACTGGAGGAACAGACTTTGCTGTCTCCTGAGCTGCATCAGATGGGATTGTCACACTTCTTTTGTCTCAAACCCCAAAGAGATAGGTTCTGTAATTTCACTTTCTGGCCATTTTTTTTCTAAAATATTCCCATCTATTCCAACTTTCCCACACACTGGATATCATTTTGTAGAAATAACAACGTAGCTTTAATTTTTTTGTTTTTATTTTATTCTATAGTTTTATACAACTTTATAAAACTCCTTGGAGATAAAAGGAGAAGAGTTAATTATTTCATTATAGAAGGAAAAAAAACTATACTACTGAGAGGCCTGCCTGCACAAGGTGTACACAAAATAGAAAAATCCACACACGTGCACGTGTCTTCTGGCACTACAGTCAATTTGTTCCCCTCTTCCCTTAGGATCTTCATTAAGGAAGGCTCAAGAGAATCAAAAGGGGGGAAATAGTAAGGTAATGGTTTTGAAGGCACATAAGGTCAAAGAGTCTTTTGTCTTAGGAGTGTGGAACTTACTGTGAAGAGGTCAAAAACCTTTCTCAATGAACAGAGGAAAGGATCCCAAGCTGTAGATCTGAGGGGAATTGTGCAAGCATTTAAAGCGCTTAGAGGTAAGGAGCATCTGGGGCAGGGTGTGTGTGTGATTCATGTTGTGGCAGGGATGAAATCAGAAACAGGGTCGAGAGGAAAAGAAGGGGGCCAGACATTGCTCATGATGTGATATTTACAAGGGAATGAGCTAATCCTCTCAATTATAAATTCATTTCTTTATCATAATTCCCTCTCTTCATCTGGGAGGAAATAGCTTTCTTTGCTGGTTCTTTGGCTTACTTTTCAAATCATGTTGAATTTTTCATTTCAGAACTGGCAGACATACAATGCTACTGGGGTAAGGAGAAATCACAGTACTTTCAAGCCATGCAATTCTTGTCAACTTTCATCATTGTGCATTTTCCAATAGGTCTCACTCTGATATGTATGTGTCCTCTTCTAGTATGCACCTACATATTATACTTCCTTGATGTTCTATCTCTCCTTGTGACCTATGAACCAGGTCCTTCCAGTTTCCTCTTATGTTCTCTCAGAGACCCCTCTCTTTATATTGCAAATGAATCTACTCCATATGCTTCCACCCTTTAATTGTCTTACAGTAAACATGGAACTGACACCAGTGAACTCTCCTTCCGATGTTGTCATTTCTAAGGATGGGAAACAAGCAAGACTAGTGGAGAAGCCAACACCTTCACATCATTCTGGTGATTATCTTTCCATGGATTGCCAGTAGATTGAATCAGAGAAACATTACTGGGGAAAGTCCCTGGGCCCAGAGGGTAGATTCGGCCATTTCCCCAGTGTTCTACCTCTCCCTATGAGCCCTGAACAAGGTTCTTTCCTGTTCCCTCTCCTGCTTTCAAGATTCCTCTCTTATGGTCACAAGTCAGTCTGCTTCATATCTTTCTACCCTTTATTGTCTTACAGGAAACATTTCAGGAAATCCAGGCAACTTTTTGTTTAGTTTTGCCCACACTGGGCATCAAAGAAATAAGGGCAATGTTTTATCATCTTCTTCCCTTAAGGACGTCAACATTGGTCATAATCCTTTCTGTGGGTCTCTGAGGATCAACTCAGGGAAACATTATTGGGAGGTGGATATATCTGGGAAAACTGTCTTGATCCTGGGAGTATGCAGAGTCGCAAGAACTGAAGTCGAAACGGAGTTCGATTTTAACCAAAGTGGCCTTCAAAATGTTTATTCCAAGTATCTACCTACATATGGCTACTGGGTTATCGGGTTACAGTCTCAGTATATTACTTTTGAAAATGCTTCTTCCTCTAAACCTCAGAATTTGATCACTTGTCAAACCTTTCCTCCCTGTGGTGTTGGGGTTTTTATAGACTGTGAGTCTCGCACAGTTTCGTTTTTCAATGTCACAAATCATGGGTCCCTCATCTACAAATTCTCTAATTGTTGCTTTTCTACAACGGTTTGTCCTTATTTCAATCTAAAGGAATGTGCAAATCCCATGTCTCTGTGCTCACCAGGCTCCTGAGCATCTTATCCCCTTAGCACTCTGTGTAGTTCCCTTCCCCTGTGCCCAGGGCCTGTGTCAGAATGCACTGTCACCATTGTGACCATCTCCTACTCTCTCCCTCCTTTTCCTTTTTAATGTCCTCTCCTCATCCATGGAATATACAAGTTGCCCTGGGTCTTTTTCTTCCCCACAACTTACTTAAGAGAGAATCCTAATTCATCACTTTTCTTCTTCACACACAAAAAATGACTAATCCTTCCTAACGTAAGACCAGATTTGGGGTAACACCTCTGCCAACTCTTTACTCCCGCATTCCCTCCATTACTGACTTGAGATGAGGCCAACTTGTGAATCATCTGTATTATTATAGACTGGATAACTTCATATTTTGATAGGATACAGTAGTCACCCCCTAAAACGTGAGTCCTTAGGAATGTGCCAGTTTAACCAAGATGTCCAGATTCACCAAAATTATGAAGGAGGAAATCTCAGAAATAATCTATGTATAAAGAGTAGAAGTTTTATGTCTACACTGTATGAGTTCAGAGTCTGTATCTTTATGTATTAGCAGTGTAACTGTGAATAAGAGGCCTAAACAGTTGAGGCTATTTTTAAAAATTACTTTGTAATAAAAACTATACTTATTACTTAAAATGTATGTGAAATTATCAATATTAAATTTAAAACACCTGTCTGTTCCATTTTAGTAATACCTACTTACTACGGAAACCTATAATCTGTATCAATATTCTATGCGACTGGTTTGTGGTAATGAAGCCTCATTTTTGTGATCATTACTTTCAATACTCCAATTCTGTTTTAGATTTTAGACACATGTACATATACAGCAGGGTTAGTGCAAACATAATGTTACTGAGTTTTCAGGTCAAACCTGCATGGTTTTATTCCATAGACAATGTACTTAAACCTATTCTTTGTGATCAGTGCATAGCTGTAGCTATGTTCTCTCAGCAACACACATGACTTACTCTCATTATGGTGAAACAAAGGCTTCTGAGGAGATATTGTGGGCCAGTTACACTAAGGGCAGAGTGGTCATCTCAGAAGGTGATTGCACCTGGTTTCTAGAGATTCCCAAGGGAGAATCTGGTGTGGCACTAAGCTAAACACTGGACTGCTAACTACAGGGCCAGCTGCACCTTGGAAACCCTATACATGTTCGCTATGAGTTGAAACTGACTAGATGGCATGTACAACTACAACAGGGGGATAATCTTGATAGACTTTCCTGGAATGATCATCAGGGTTTTTAATGAATAAAGTGTTAAGAATGAAAACTGCATTGGTGTGAAAAAGACCAAGAAAGTTGCACCAAGGAATTTTATTTGTCGAGATGATGTGCCTTGAGGGTAGCTAGGGAATCCTGGTGTGGCAGTGTAGAATAAGCGCTGGACTGTTAACTACAAGATCAGAGGTTCAAACCCACTATCCCCTCCTCAGACACTCTATGCAGTGTCAATATGAGTTGAACCAACTCAACAGCACTTAACAGCAAGGCTGTTTTAGGGGAATTTCATTAGGAAACAAGAACCCATCCACCTACAGCCTTGATCTTGTTTCTTCAGGCTCCTTTTGTTCCCCAAACTCAACATTTAAAGGAACATGATTTGACTCCCTTGATGCCATTAGACATGGTGTAAAATGAAGAATCTAATTCTATGGGAAAGGGTTTGTGTTACGTAAAGTCAAGTAGGTTCTTACTCATAGCGAACCAGTATAGGGTTTTCAAGGAATGACTGGTAAAATAGAATTGCCAACCTTGTGGTTCAAATCAACCTTAGAGTCTTGTGCTTATCCTACAGTAACACACTAGGACTCCACATGTTAGAGAGATTGAAACACCATCTCAAAAATGTTTAGAACTAGTTGGAGGGTATGTTGAGAAACAACAGCTTCCCAATTTCGCCGTTTCATGTTGTGGTAATATTTTTTATTTACCCTCTATTGTTGTTAAATGCCGTCCAGCTGTTTCAGACCCATAGTGAACCTGTGTAGGGTTTTCAAGGAGCATGTGGTGAGATTCAACTGCCGACCTTGCAGTTCAAACCGACTTTGCAGTCCAGCTCATTAACCCATAGTACCACACATATATATACAAAGCCACCACTTGTTTTTCAGTTTTTTGCACTGTGGTGGCTTGTGTGTGGCTGTGATGCTAGAAGCTATGCCACTGATATTTTCAATACCAGCATGATAACCCATGTTGGACAGGTTTAAGCTGCAAAGACATTCAACTGTGTAGCTCAAAACAAATTGGCAACATTGCAAAGTGAGAAATTCAGGTCTAGGTATTTTCAATCACCTCATATTCAGGTGAAAAATGGACAATGAATAAGGAAGATCATAGAAGAATTGATTCATTTGAAATAGGGTGTTGATGACATGTATTGATTGCCTGAAATAAAGCCAGAATGCTCCATAGAAATGAGAATGGCAAAACTTGGGCTTTCATACTTTGGGCATGTTGTCAGGAGGGAGAAGGACATGAGAAGTTAAAGGAGGAAGACCCCCCATGAGATGCACTGACACAGTGGCAGCAATAATGAGCTCAAACATAATTGTGAGAATGGCCCAAGACTGGGCAGTGTTCCCTTCTCTGTGTCGCTATTTGTCAGAAATGATTTGAGGGCACCTAAGAACAGTATAGACATAAAACCAAACGGCCACCACTCGTCTGTCTGTCGTGCTGTGGTGGTCTGAGTTGCTGTGATTCTGAGGGCTATGCCACCGGTGTTTTAAATAACCAGCAGGGTCACCCATGGTGGA